GTGGTATTGGTACAATTCGGATACGCATGTGTGACAGGGTGACCCGGGAGCTGAAGGAAGTAAGGTTCATTCCACAGTTGACGAAGAACATTATTTCACTTGGAACTTTGGAGGTAACTGGCTATCAGGTGATCTTGGAGAATGCAACTTTGAAGATCGTGAAGGGGTCCATGATGGTGATGTGAGGTGTCAGGGAAAATAACCTATACTACTTAAAGGGCAAGATAGTTACAGGGGGTCTGACATCTTCTATCACTAGAGAGGAGGACACTACCAGTTTATGGCACATGCGTTTAGGACACACTGGTGATAAGTTCCTACAGGCATTGGTGAAACATGGGCTATTAAAAGGTGTGAAGACCTACAAGATAGAGTTGTGTGAGCATTGTATACTTAGGAAGAAGACAAGAGTGAAGTTTGGCACCGGTATTCACAATACACAAGGTATATTGGACTACATTCACACAAATATTTGGGGCCCTTTCAAGCACACATCACTTGGTGGGGCTAACTATTTTGTCACTTTTATTGATGATTATTCCTGGAGAAATTGGGTATACCCTATGAAGCACAAACATGAGGTCCTGTATATTTTTATAAAGTGGAAGAAGAAAGTGGAGCTGCAGACAGGTAGAAAGGTGAAGACTCTTCGTTCGGACAATGGAGGAGAGTATAAAAGTGATCTGTTTCTACACTTTTACTAGGATCACGGCATTAGGCGACACTTCACAGTTCGTGAGATACTGCAATAGAACGGGGTGGCTGAGAGGTTGAATCGTACCTTACTGGAGAAGATACGATGTATGATGACACAGAGTGGATTGTCAAGATCCTTTTGGGCCGAGGCGTTAGTTTATGCGAGCTATCTCATGAATAGGTTGTCGTGCACTGCGATACAGAGAAAGACTCCAATGGATCGTTGGTTTGGTTTTGTAGCTAGTGACTATGAGTTGCTTCGGATATTTAGGTGTCCAGCTTATTATAATGTCAGTGATGATAAATTGAATCTGAGGGTAAAGAAAGCGGTCTTTGTGAGCTTTAGAGAAGGAGTAAAGGCTTCAAATTGTGGGATCCACGGGATAAGAAGATAGTTATTAGCAGAGATGTTACATTCGACGAGGCGTACATGATGAGGCCTCAAGTCCCTCAGTAGGTAGAGGGAGACCAGACAAGAAGGATATCATAGCAGGTGGAGGATGATGTAACTCCACCCGCTCCAGATAGCATTGTATCAATTGAGGCTCCTACAAAGGTGACAATGGAAGGAGATGGGATGACAGCCGGGCATTTAGAGAATACAGTGGATCGTGAGACTCAGGAGCAGGGTCATGCTCAGGAGTCCATTGCAACAAACAAATCCAGAAGAGTGATTCGTCGGCCAGCTAAATATAATAATATCATGGTTGCATATGCCTTATCAGCAGAGTTCGTTGATGATTTGATTCCTTCTACATTCAAGGAGGCAGAATCTAGCTCTTATTCGATCAGATGGAGGGAAGCTATAGAGGAGGGGATGTGCTCTCTTTAGAAGAACGACACTTGGGAACTCGGAAAGCTACTGAAGGGTAAGAAGGCTATTCGATGCAAGTGGGTGTATGCAAAGAAAGAGGGATCTTCTATTGGGGACATTGGTACAAAGCCAGATTGGTTGCCAAGGGTTATGCATAGCTTGAGGGCGTTGATTACAATGAGGTATTCTCACCTGTTGTAAAGCATTCGTCGATTAGGATTCTGTTTGCATTGGTGGCATAACTGGATTTGGATTTGGTCCAGATGGATGTGAAGACAGTCTTTCTCCATACAGATTTAGATGATGAGATATACATGAAGTTTTTACACGGAGATTTAGATGGCACAACAGGAAAGGAAGAATTAGTGTGAAAGCTGAAGAAGTCTCTTTATGGATTGAAGCAATCGCCGCGACAATGATACAAGAGATTCGACTGCTTTATGATTGGCCGATGGTACACAAGAAGCTCATATGACCCATGTGTTCACATGCACAAGCTACAAGATGGTGAGTATATCTATTTGTTATTATATGTTGATGATATGCTTATTGCCTCCAGAAATTCTTCGGCTATTCGAAAGTTGAAAAAGTAGCTGTCATCCAAGCTTGAGATGAAGGATCTTGGAGAGGCGAAGAAGATATTAGGTATGGAGATCGAGAGAGATAGGGCGAAGGGGAGATTGAACCTTATACAGAGGAGTTATTTACAGAAGATGTTGAAGAAATTCAGCTTTAATGGCAATGCAAAGACAGTAAGTACTCTATTGGCTCCCCACTTCAAGCTTTCAGCTTTGATGTCACTTGTTTCAGTTGAAGATAGAGAATATATGTCAAAAGTTCCATATGTTAGTACGGTTGGTAGCTTGATGTATGCTATGGTATGTACGAGGCCAGATTTGTCACAGGCCGTGAGCATGGTATCTAGGTACATGCATGATCTCGGGAAGGGTCATTGGGAGGCCGTGAAGTGGATTATACGGTATATCAAAGGTACCGTGGATGTTGGTTTGTTTTTCCAGAAGAATGAGAAGACGGGACAGGATTGTATTGGCTATGTGGATTCAGATTATGCGGGGGATCTTGACAAGCGCCGGTCTACTTCAGGATATGTTTTTACATTGGCAGGAGCATCAGTATGTTGGAGATGTACACTTCGGTCTACAGTGGCTCTCTCTACTACAGAGGTGGAGTATATGACGGTAACTAAAGCTGTAAAGAAGGCTTTATGGTTGCATGGATTGTTGGAAGACTTAGGGATATCACAGGAGACCATTCAAGTATATTATGATAGCATGTCGGCTATCTATTTGGCAAAGAACCAGGTTTATCATGCATGCACGAAGCACATTGATGTCAGATTCTACTTTGTTCGTGATGTCTTGGATAACGGTGATGTCATATTAGAGAAGATCCATACAAAGGACAACCCTGTGGATATGTTGACCAAAGTTATTTCGGGTGTTAAATTTGGTCATTGTTTGGAGCTTTTGAACATTCTTCGGTGTTGAGGCCTTTGGAGGCCATTTGGGTGAACTACGTGAAGCTTGATTCATTGGGCAAGAGGATACGTAGGCAGTCGTTTGATGTAGCCGGTTGGATTTGTTGATTTTGATGGGGGTGAGATTGATTGAGCTCTCGTTTAAGTTACCGACTTGTTGTGGATTGAATCCGTTGTCATGGATTTATTCCACTTCATACTGGACGCAACAAGTGCGATATTTGGTTGTTTTGGTGTCGGCTCAGTTTTGAAAAAAACTTCGCCGAGGTGGAGAATTATGAACGGGCATGGGGTCCACACTCAAGTTCAGCCTTCAACAGCGTTTTGTTTTTTTCTTCGATTCTGCGTGGGAGGCTAAGCGTGTGGGGACCACGAGCTAGAGGTAGGGGACTTTGTAGGCCCACCTGATTTCTATTTGGAGTCCTATAAATGATTCCTGGGGTTTTTCGGTGGCAGCGTGCAAAGGGGAAAACGAAGAGGAGATTTTTTTGGCTGCAAGCAAAGAAGGGAAAATGACAGAGGATTTTCTGCTGTGTTGAGGAGATAGAGAGCACTCTTTGGAGCTGAATTTGAGAGGGTTTGTGCATCCCTTTTGAGAGATAAATTGTGAGAGATTTGAGAGTTGGTTTAAGGGTTTTATTTGTGAGACTTTGTGTGATTGTAAACCCTATTTGTATTCTCTTTCTCTCTAATAGCCCCCCCCCCCCCTCCCCCCTCCTTGCCCCGTGGACGTAGGCAACTTGTCGAACCACGTAAAATTCGTTTGTCTTGCTGTGATTTGTGGTAGCTTGTTAGGTTCCCTCGACAAGTCGGTCCTAGAACCGATGAGAGGAAGAGTACATATCCCACTTTGTTAAGAGATATCACTATCGATTCTTGTTTCTTTTGTGAAACAGGAATTAAGTTGTGATCTTACTATCTTGTTGTGCACCAGAAGCGCTGCCGAAATTTCCGCTGTGCACAACAGAGAGAGTAGGAGAGGGATGACAGAGGTTGAAGATGAGAGGAGAGAAAAGAAATAAGAGAGGTCGAAGATGAGAAGGGCAGAGAAAGATGAGAGAGGCTCATGGGTTCATAGAGAAATGAGAAAGAAAAAAAATGAAAAAATAATGGAACAAAGAATGAAGAAGGGCGTGTTTTGGAACATGGTTTAAGGGGTCTTTTGAATTGTTTCTTGGGTCAAACATATTTTTGGATGACCCAAAAAATATTGAGGTTTTTTTAGAATGGATTCTTAAAGGTGAGGTTCCAATTGCAAATTTTCCTGAAAACTCTATTGTTATGAACTAAGTAGTTATTTAGACTAACATGCGAGCATTACACTTAGATGGTTTCTCTTCTCTCTTTTTTTTCCCTCTCTAATTACCCAAAATTGCTCCTGAACAAGCCATTATGAGAAAAAGGAGGGAAAAGGAAAAAGGGAAAGAAAAAAGCAAGGAAAGAATGAAAAACAGTAGAAGAAAGTCAACTAAGCTGTTGAGTTTCTTGGCAAAATAGTCACCCGCGTCACATAAACATCACCTCAGTATGGATTGAACACACATTTACCCGTACTTAGTACATACAATGGGCAAATCTAATGGTAAAAAATTTACAAAAGACTGATGTTATTACCTACTTACTGTTCACTAAAAAGACATTTGTTATGTAGTTAAATGCCAAACAGTCTGAGCGTTTCATGCATAGGTCTGCATTGTCTAAAGCCTGAGCAATTGATATATTTTTTGGTTAGTCACAGTTGTTTATTTTATTACAACGGGTAAATGCAGTCATAAAGGTAGTTGCAACACAAAGATCTGCAACTACGTCTAATGACTTAAACAGATTAGGATGTAAGTCACATACAACATTTTCAAGCTGCAAACGAGGTCTACATCATAACTTCAATTGTAATCAAGCCAAAACAGAAGCCCAAAAACATGACACCTCAAGTGGCAAAGAAGAAGGAAAAGGGGGGAAAAAGAATGTCAACTAGAAGCATAACTGGACGTTACAAAATTTAAAATTGAACTACACAACTAAAATTATGACTGCATGTGATAGAAATAGCAGTAACTATTGTTGAGTGCAGTTGATATTTACATTGCAATTGCAGTTACAACGAACAAAAAAAAAGCCTATATTTAATTTCATTTTGAACAAGCACGTCTACATTACCTTCCCTACCAGCCAAACCCTGGACAAATTTTCTGTTGCAAGAGAAACATTTATAGTACAAGCACTACTCCAGTATAGCCCATTCATCGGCTTGATGTCCCTCATAAACAAACATTAACCCATGCATTGGCTGAATTTCCCTTATATAGGATATCAAAAGGCATGATTCATGCGGATCAAAATTTTCTCATATCAATACCAAAAATACCTTCATCAATTTCTTACTGTTTTGTGCTTCACCGGTTATTTACTCATCTACTTCAACCAATCTACCACAAACCCACTTCTTACTTTTGGTTGCAGATCTAATTTCTCCACCCTCCTTGGATTTCAGTAGTCCTTCTCTTTGACGGGGTGAACTTTTGTACTGGATAGAACCATTAACCTTAGGTTGCTCCTCTTCCAAGTTTTTAAGATCAGAATCTTTCTGGCCACTGTTAGGCTCCAAAGAAGTTGAAGCAAGATGAAAGCCGTTCACTAACCTATCATCTAAAACTTCTCCGCTATTGTATGATTTATGAGCAGATTGGAAATGGTTTACTACCGGTGCCTCAGAGGTAAATGATGCTTCATCTCCAGAATCATGAGATATTGGTTGTCCATTCTCTATGCTTTCAATTGAGCGGGTTGCCTCAGCAATTAGCTTCCTGGTTTCAATAAGTGAAGCTTGGGCAAGAGGGCTCCTTTGCGCCGCCACTTCAAGAGCTTTAGCTGCCTTCTCTGCTTTGGTGATCAGTAATCTGAATACATTAATTAGTTAAAGTAAGAAAATTGGATCATTGATCTTATTGTAAATGAAGGTAAATACAATAGAGACATCATAATTGTATATTTTGAGATGAGAAATTAGCAATTACGTTTAGAGGGTACATAGATGATATGTATTAATGTATATTTAGAAATGAGACTATTACAGTAGGCTTATTAAGGTTTATGCGTAGCCTTTCAAAATTAGCATTTTGTAGACTAATCAGCCTATAGCAGTGCGTGTGTGCTTGCATTTGTCTCTACACATACAAACACACACACACACATACACATGAAGAAAACGGTATGAGTTGATAGCATGTTTTGCTAAATGAGCTACCAAGAAATAGACGAAATCAAGATCATAATCTTCAAACTAGTTCACAGTGGATGGCCAAAAGAAATTATTAAGGATAGACTAGAATACACTAAAAGTCTAAGCAAGTAGATTGGAAGGAGAAAAATTATCATTTGGTTAATCTCTTAATCAGAGTAGAGAAGAAGTAGATGAAGAATAGAGTTTGCAACGCGGAATAAGCTGTTTAAGCTTCAGAAGCGCGTGTGATAGAAAATATATAATTGAAATGGTAAGATATGCAAAAAGAAAAAGAAAAAAAAACTGTTAATGAAAAAAGATGTCCTGTATAATGAGACTTACTTTGCTCTCTCAGTGGCTTCTTTCTGTTTATTCTCCATTGCTGTTCTTTCTTCCCTAATTTTTCTGATCATCTCCAACTTGAAGCTAGCCAACGGATCTTTATAAGAAGGGGATGCATGTCTCTTTCTCCTAGATAAAACTGTCTTTATACTTCTGAACTCAAGTTCAGTTCCTTTTGGTTTAGGTTTTCCCTTCACAACCTCCTTTTTTTTAACACACGACATTTCACATGATGGTCGTCTTCTTCGTTTTCTTTCAACCCCAACAGATACTCCATGATACTGTGATAGTGCAGAGCAAACCCGTCCACGGTATTCCTAACATAAGAGGGAAAATAAGCGAATCAAACAAAGGAAGCTTTTAATAATGTGAAACAGAAACAGGGAGAGGTGCTTTAGTCAGTGTTGAGAAACATGAGCAACAAAACGTAGTAAGCCTTTACCTACACGTAGCATTCTTAAATAGTGCAGACACATCGTATGCTATCCTGTTTCAATATAATGTGCACTATTTCCATAGTATGTACGCTATTTCAATATAAAATGTACTATCTCAATAAAACGTACGCTGCTTCAAAATAATTTATTTTCCTCTTAAGAGTATTTACTTTATTTAATTTATTTAAGACTTGAAGAAGTTAAGTATTTGCTTTAGGATTGTTAGTTAAGCCTGATGGCTTCTTTTGTTGTCGTGATTGATACTTGGTAACACCATTATACGTGTGATTGTGGATTTATGATTTGGAAAGCATGAAGTGGATGTGCAATCTATGATGAGATATGTAAATTTGTGATGATATATTTGAATATTTCACTGTGGTACTTATTAGTAAATTAGTATAGCTTGTATCAATTTTAGAATTCTTACTGAAAAAATCATCTTTTATATTTTTAAGTCATGTTACTATTTACTGAATTATTATAGACACTTTTTATATTTCTTTTAAGTTAGAAGAACAAAAGACGTAAGATATGTTGTGTTATTCTATATTTCAATATTGGTGTTAGTTTGCTCTTACAGGATCTGCCCATTTGGCAGAGATAGCTTCTGAGATCTTCCTTCGTTGCTCGAGCGATTTAGGTGCTCTCTTGCTAGCTTTTAGCCAAGGCATTGTTTTTCTCTTCTCAATGCTCTCCAACCACTCTTGTTTTAATTGCTCATCTATGATCTTGTATGAATCCCACTGCAGCTCATCATCACCCGCATGGCCCTTCCTAGATGCTTCAGCAATAATATTCTGCCACTCAAACAAGCAGCCTTCTTGAACCATCAGCATTTCCCGTCGTCGCTGCCAGCCCTTTCGCACTCCTACTGCGATCTTTATCCTTGTCTCCTCACTGCAATAATAATGCGAGAATATGACGCTTATAGTCTATACCCAGAAGAAGGCGATAATTAACTAACTAGTCTAGATAGTTGGATACAATATCAAGATTTGAACTTAGATAATAAAGATCATTGTAATGTGGTTTCTTGATAATATTAATACTATTAAATGTTGCCATTACACCAAATCTCTGGAATTGTGCTGAGGTTGGGGACTATAATTTTTTATTCTAACATGCCCCTGTGGGTTGAACGTGCTTTATAGAGGCCGAAACCAAGACTCCCTAATATATTTTTTTTTAAAATTCGCTCTAAATTCGTGACCAATGAGATTTGAACATGGGTTGGTCCGATACCATATTAAGGGACCCTTCCACTACATCAAAACTTTGAAGTTGTGGTGAAGATTAAGGACTATAATTTAACATTCTACCAATAAAGTTATGGGTAAATTTCATGGAATTAACATGAAGTTGAGGAGGTTATGCACAAAGCTAGTATACTTTATTTTGTTAGAGAAAACTACCATGAACTTTCAAAACTGCAGAAAAAGACTACGAACTATTTAGAAGTTGTTGTTAATGGCATTAATGTTTTGGATAAATGGTCTAAACTGCCCCTTTTACATCTATCATACCCACAAAGTTCACAAGGGTAATATTAATATAGAAGACATAAAATACACAAGGACAGTTGTCCACATCATGTCAAATGTATATACAAGGACAATTGTCCAAAACATGTCATCTAAAAAGTACATGACAACTTACCGTAACTGAAATGAGGCAGTGTTGTGTGAAAACAGTTCTTGATAGTTCTCTCTGCTAAAAGAAGTTACCATAGGTTTGTGCAAAACATTCCACAGTTCATGGTAGCTTCGTGAAATTTATTCTAAAATTACCATCTATAAAAATTTGTTTATGATTTCACTTACAAGATAATTAATCAAGGAAAAATGAGGCAGTGTTGTGTTTAAACAGTTCTTGATAGTTCTCTCTGCTAAAAGAAGTTACCATAGGTTTGTGCAAAACATTCCACAGTTCATGGTAGCTTCATGAAATTTACTCTAAAATTACCATCTATAAAAATTTGTTTATGATTTCACTTACAAGATAATTAATCAAGGAAACTAAAAGTTCTATCAAATAGGAACATCTGTAAAGCTCGGCCATATTGATGCACAATTATAAAAGATCCTCATTTATATTAGGGAATGCTGATAAAATAATATGGTAGACAAGGAAAAACACGCTGGAGCTTAGATTGAAGAAGGTATTCAAAACTACCAGTCCAACATAAAGGCATTGCCCAAAAGAAACTAAGCACTAAGTTAATCAAAGAGAAACTGGCAATAGGTCTTAATACCTTTATTTACTAATAGCAGTAAAGCTAATAAAAGTCATGCTGAAACTGCAAAGGAAACATTTGAAAGGGTAACCCATAACTTACGTCTGAGCATGTCCCAAACTCATTAACTTCATCTTCACCTGCATGAGAAAACATTAGTGAGCACAGTGGAATTAATTTGCATGCTCTGTAACTGCTATGAAAAGTGCATTAACAGATTCAACAGAAAACTACTTGTGGGGTGGCACAAAAAACAGTGATGGATCCAAATTTCAAGCCTGGAAATGAAAAAAAATTGCATACAAACTACTTATAGGAACATGCGACATGAAGAAGCCAAGAAAAAGAAGCATAAATAACAATGAAGTCTTGATCACAAAATTTTGGATGATCGAGTTCCCAGCAGAAAAAACTAAGAAATTTAGCAATTGAAATATTTTGTAGGATATAGAGCGCATGTTATTTATGTAACATTTGACTCTGATTTTCTTAGTGTCAACAGTTTTAAAGAATACTCAGTAACTTATACAATGGTTAAACGACGGGGAAAAACAGGAATCTCTCTACAAGCCCAAATAGTTTTCTTCCTAATTCTACAGCTAATATTTTCAAGTTAATAATTAACATTTCTCTTACATGACATCACCTTGGGATCCTGCATTGCTATTCTGGTCCTTTCTCGTATCCTCTGAAGAGTTTCTGTATGCATATTTCAAACATAACAATGAGCACAGAAAGAAATTTTCAGCTACAACAGAAGGAAAAATCAGAGAAAAATAAAAGAGGAACTCAAAATTCATACCTGGACTATGCTTCCTGCCCTTGTTCCACGGAACATTTCCCTTGTTTGCCTTTGAAATTCTTGTTCGTCTTAACCTCTCTTTTTGAATAGAGTCCTCATCAGAAGCATGAAGCTCTGGAGACTCTTCATAAGGTTTAGAGACTTCTCGTTCAACAGTGGCAATTGCTTTCATGAGCTGTGCCTTTTCCTTATCAGGAGACCAATCTTCAAATATAAATTTTCTAGAGATTTGATTGTGGTCTTCCCCTCCAAAGCCTATTTTTTCATGTTTAACAATAGAGAGTTTATGTCGCGACTTCCCATATAATAGGAGCCTAATCCTAGGAGTAGATTGACAGTTTTTGTAAGGAAGCCATAAAGGAAAAACATCTGCAAAGAAAATAACATAACAATCAGAGACTTGCGCAAACAAAATGTTAATGTGTTATAAACACAGGTTGTAAAACAAAAGTTAAAACATTCAACAAAGAGAAAAAAGAGGCTTCAGAACCTTCCCCCCCCCCCCCCCCCCCCCCCCAAACAACAACCCAAAAAAAAGCAACTATTTTTCAGTTTTATCTAAACCCCTCAATTGTTTCAGTTCCACCTTAGTCATTTAAATATATGCCGAAATATCGCTATTTCGGCTGGTATATTGTTTTGATGCCCTTCCAATACGATTATGAAAAAAAAAATCATTTTTTTTATTTTTACCACCTTTTTCTGATATGTCAGAAATATTGGTTGATATTTCATTGAGGAAGCATCGGCCGATATTTGCTAATATCCAAATGAAAAGGATTATTGAGTTTAGGCTTGATTTTGGTTCCCATTAGACCTAAAAATTAACAAATTCCCGAACCCAAATACCCAAAATCCCTAGTCAATTTCATATTTCTCCTCCCTCTTCGTTCGGCACTCCAACTCAAAAACGCTAGACGATCTCAGGTACGAATCTCTCTCTCCTCTCTCAACTCTCTCTTTCTCTTCTCCAGTTCTTCTCTCTCTCTCAGCTCCTCCTCAGCCCTCTCTCTCTCTCTCTTACCTCTACCTATATCTAATATCTCTAAATGTCATATATCATTATTTATGATGCAACTTCTTATGTTTAGAATACATTAAATATATTTTGATTGCATATCACAATGTTATGTTACATATGAATATCATCCAATGACACCCTGATATTTTTTACATATCCTCGATATATCACCAATTTTACGCAATCTGATATGGATTTTGGTCATCCGATATCTCCGATACTTTCGATATTTAATACGTTGCTCGCTGAACTATCAGAATTGTCACTCTCAGCATCCCGCTACTTTTTTTGGAGAAAAACCATTTCTTGTTTATTACTTTGTGGGTATTGAAAATGGATCCATGAGAGGAAAGTGATAGTTTAGGGGGGTAATGTGAGATTGAATATAGTTCGGGGTAAGGGGGTATGCAAGGATGATTTACAAGTTTAGGGACCAGGTAGGAAGAAAATAGTTCAGGGTATAAGCATGAAGAAAATACGAATTTAATAGTTTAGGTGGCGAGTAGGGATTGAAGCCAAAAGAAAATAAAAGTTTAGAAGGGTGATTAAGAACCCAAATCACGTTATTGTTTGGAGACACCTATCCTCTCTTATCACACTCCACTTCTGCCATTTCTTTCTCTCATCAACAACAACCAAATGCTACCAACAGCTTATCTTTAGTATATTTCCTTTTAGGCTTTTAGATATTGATCCCTTAAATATTTCATATCTTCAGACTAATCCTTCAGGTCATGCAATTGCTAATAGTCCTTAAATTCATATACTTTACTTGAAGTTAGTCTCTCTGTTAGTTTCTTCCTCCAATTTCATAATTCTCGTTAGGTTAGTGGTTAACCAAACAAGCTAAATTACTGTTTTACACTCAATTCATCCACTTCATTCCAAAATGACGAATTCCCCCGTCTTATGAAAAATGTTTTATGAACTTATGATTGTTTAGGAGAAGACGAGAAGTTGGGTTTGGATTTAATACTTTAAATAGTTTTTAACTTACAAACGACTTTAGATTTGAGTAAACTTAATGAGAAGGGTATAATATGAAACTGAAGTCAAAATGTTAAGTATAATGGAATATTCCTTCTAATTCAAATGATAATTTAACAGAGGACTAATTAGGAGTAACTTATATGAAATGGGGGAGTATATAGCAATTTCAATGGTTTTGAGGACCAATTTAAAATATGACAGATTTGAGGGACCAAATCTAAAAAACCATTCCTTATAAATCTCTTTTATTATGTCTTTTTCATAAGATTAAACCTCACTTGAATATTCTCTGAACAGTATGCCTTCTAAGAATATTCAACTCGATCAACAGCTCTCGGTTCCTAATGGTCACGTAACCAACACATTAACTTTTGAGGTGGTAAATAACATCGTATATGAAAGAAACTTAACATGTTTCCCTATTGTTATAGCCTATAAATAACTAAGTGTTAATCTTTATTTAGAGACCGACACGTGTCCCGCTTCACTCCTAATGATACGTATTTCGTGACGAACGAGTCGAGCTACTCCTGCGGCCGACCCCATAGACCGACAACTTGTTTAGCTGACTTAAAAGACGGTGTTTGTCGGCCTACCCACCAGATCGATGCTACAGGCACCCGCACTCAGCCTACCATTCTAGCCGACAACTTGCGTAGCCGATTAAAAATGCGGTGTTTATAGGCCTTCAACTAGACAACTAGAGAGACGGTGTGTCCTCGAACCTCCCTCCGACAACCAACTATCATCTTCTTAAATACGCTGTCAGAGTCATCATTGCTTTAGCCCCCCATAGTCTTTATGACTCATCGGACATAGTCAGCACTGAGCGCTTGTTGTCGCCCTCACGTTAAATATTTGGATGACTCACTATTTCAACGGTCGACACCTATAACATACCTGCAGAATCAGTTGCCTGTCTGGACTAGTTGGCGAAAGTTACCTATATATCCTTCTGATCTATTTGTGAAAGGAAGTTGTGCAACCTAAGGTAACTTCTTTTGCTCACATGCAACTCTGAACTTTTTATTATCACTTATTTCTTATTTTCCCACTCAAGTTCAAACGCTGACTTGATCGTCGGAGGAACAACTGAAGACCCCAACTCCGGCCTCGCACGAGGTTTTCATGTGCAGGAGAAAACGTCAGCCTCCAGAACCAACCATCTAAAGGAGTTTGAGAACCCTAACACCACTATAATTTACAGACAAACCCCCTATTTGATAACTAACATTAACATCTATATTTGGCCTTCAACCCACATGGAAAGGCCTTCAATGAAAATATAGACTTTCTTGGAAAGGCACAATAACAGAGAAGAATTATTGTATTCAAATTTTTGATGATGGGATTTGAACCAAAAACCTCATTAAAAACTTATGTTCTGATACTATCTCCAGAACTTTTTTAACCAGAAGCTTAAGTTTTGCAGGTTATGAATAATATCTAGCAAAATTAACAGATGGATACTTAATTTGTGTTGGGTAAAAACTAAGCAATTGAAGCATGATATAGCCAAAATTTGAAGTATTTAAACGTCTTTTAGATTTAGTTACCTAATTTCTATGCAGAAACAAAAGCGCAAAATAAACAGAGAATCAGAGATCTATTATTTATCTAATATTTACTGGTAGGAGTGGGAATGCAATCAAACACAAATTGTTTTCTATCGTTTATGTTTCATTCAAGGATATACTACTTTCCTTTTGTTTCTGCAAGCAACCTAAGTTATTATATGGCTAAATATCATGAACCCCCTTAACTTAAGACGATTAAACGATAACTCCCATTAACTTCCAAAATATTAGAAGCAACCCCCTTCCCCCTCCCCGGTAACTTAGGATGATTACCAGGAAACCCCTCATAACTTTCAAAATATTAGAAGCAACACCCTCCCCCAAACCCCCAAAAACCTTAAGTGTAGGGGTTACCAGAAAATCTCCTTTTAATTTAGGATTTTACCCCAAAAAAACCCCTAACAGAGTTAACCTTAAAATTTCACATGGATGGATGCATGGGGATGTTGTTTTCTAGTGAAAATTGAGATTTACACTTTTAGGGAGGGTTTCCGATAAAATATTAAAGTTAAAGGGGGGTTTTGGATAATTTCATAGCCCCTAAACTTTAGGGCTTGTTTTGTAATATTTTGAAAGTTGTGGGAGGCTATCTGATAACCGATCAAAGTTAAGGGAGGTTATCTGATATAAAGCCTAATCTTAAATTTAACCAAGGCGATGAGATAACATTCAAAGTTGGTTTTTCTCTTTCAAATTCAATCAAGAAAAAAAAATATGGTGGCACACTTGAATCATACAACTCCAATTCCTGATTACGTGAAATGCACAAACGTTAGATCGAAAATGGCCTATCATTCTTCCCAATGTTTTTCCCCTGACTAATTAATTAGAAATTGCAAAACCCAAAAAAGAGTGCAAAACTTATCCCAACCTTGACTTTAAACCCAGAATCCTAAAACCCAACACCTTGAATATTAAAAAATTGCATTTAAAAAAAATGAAATTAAGAAAAGAACAAGAAATGAACCATACCCAACATCTTGTTTTCAGTGGAGAGACTGAAGTGACCCTTAGACCAGCAAGAAGAACAAGTAGCTGAGGCCATTGCTGGTTCTAGAGAGAGAGAATGTAGAGAGCTAGAGAGACTGTGTGCGTGAGATTCTAATCTGAAAAGATTTCTCAGAGGGGGATGGTGGAGGGAGAGAAGAGGTGAGAGTGGTGAGGTGTTAATTTTGGGTAAATGTTAGGGGAAGAAACCCAGAAATTTGGGATATTTGCACAAACCATCGGAAGGAACTTCACAATTTTGGATAAATTCCCAATTTGATATACCACACGGAATCCGACCCGACTTGCGACCCGGGTCGGATTTTGGGTTGCCAGGGGCTTTACAAGCCACTTAATCAAGATTAAAACCCTCTTTCAAGTTTAGGGTCGTGCTGTAGGTCCTTTTTTTTTATTTTTTTGTTTGCTAATTGAGAGATTTTCTTAACTAAATTGGGATTTTTCTCCAAAGAAATTTAGATCATTTCACATTTTCAGAGCAACGACAGTAGGGAGGATTCCTTGGAAATAGCGTATAGATTAGGGATGTACTCAAGTTTGAGTTTTGCGTTCACATTTAACTCTATTAACTTTGTACACATATTCCTATAATCTATTGGAATGTGTTGGACTTTTGAGTACTTTTACGTCAAATGTTCTATCTTACTTATGTTAAATAAACAACTCAAATGCAGCTAATTGCCAGAGTTGTTTCCACTCCAAATCTAGATTAGAGTCAGAACCTACACTAAGACTTCGATGGTCTTCAATACAACAATACTATTTGGCTCGCAGCTTATCACCCAAGAGCATCTCGCAGCCCACGTGGATCGAGCCACGTCAGCACTCCCAAAAATCCCATGACCCTTTCTTTCCTTCCCCAACACCGTTTCTCTCTCCTCGCTTCAACCATCTGATCTCCCCAAAAGAAACCATCTCCACCCTCCTCCTCTCCCCCAGCCCCAACTCCACCACGACACCACCGCCGCCCCCGTGACTCTCCCCAAAAGAACGAGATTTTGTCACCATCAAGCAGATCTGCTCCTCCTCCACTGCCATTAAGCCCTCCGCCATCTTTAGCAGGATGAGGTCAAGCTAGGGCTCGACCTCTCTCACAAAACCAACTTCATCCGAGACCAAATCGGCCTCCTCTTAGGCCCGCCGATCTCAAGTGCCCATCTTCCGCCGTAGTATCCGCCCGTCGCCGGAGTCAGCCCATCTCTTCAACTCTGTTCAGAAGCCCTAAAATCGAAGCGCTCTCTCTCATCCCCCCACTTCAAAACAGGTACCTTTTCGCTTTTTTAATCCATCAAAAACCCTCGATTTCGTGCAAATTTCACTTCTTTCCATCTGATTTGATATGATTTCAGTTTGCATCTTGTTTAATTTCAATCTTATTACAAACTATTTAGTACATGACTAAGCTATGGAGCATACAAGGATTATAGTTTGTAGGCTTTGATCTGTCTGTAACAGTTGGTTTTTCCCTGAAAAAATTTCACTTCTTTCCATCTGATTTGATATGATTTCAGTTTGCATCTTGTTTAATTTCAATCTTATTACAAACTATTTAGTACATGACTAAGCTATGGAGCATACAAGGATTATAGTTTGTAGGCTTTGATCTGTCTGTAACAGTTGGTTTTTCCCTGAAAAAAACATTTTTTTTGTTTGAAGCGTAGGTTTATCGTTCGTTGGCTATTGGCTGTTGAAAATTACATCTCAAAGGTTTGGACTTGACTATTTTAGTGAATTTTTATTTGAGTTGTTCCCTTCACTCTGTAGTTTTCTCTCCCCCCACTAATTATGTTTTAGTATGTCAAGGAATAAAATCTGTGTTTTTCAAGATGCAGCTTGTCAGTTTCAGTCAATTGTTTGCTCAGTTTCTTTGTTCAGTTTTTCTGTCAACTATTTTTCTGTAAAGTTTATTGATGGATCAATTTGAATAGCCATGTTTTAGATTTAGTTACCTAATTTCTATGCAGAAACAAAAGCGCAAAATAAACAGAGAATCAGAGATCTATTATTTATCTAATATTTACTGGTAGGAGTGGGAATGCAATCAAACACAAATTGTTTTCTATCGTTTATGTTTCATTCAAGGATATACTACTTTCCTTTTGTTTCTGCAAGCAACCTAAGTTATTATATGGCTAAATATCATGAACCCCCTTAACTTAAGACGATTAAACGATAACTCCCATTAACTTCCAAAATATTAGAAGCAACCCCCTTCCCCCTCCCCGGTAACTTAGGATGATTACCAGGAAACCCCTCATAACTTTCAAAATATTAGAAGCAACACCCTCCCCCAAACCCCCAAAAACCTTAAGTGTAGGGGTTACCAGAAAATCTCCTTTTAATTTAGGATTTTACCCCAAAAAAACCCCTAACAGAGTTAACCTTAAAATTTCACATGGATGGATGCATGGGGATGTTGTTTTCTAGTGAAAATTGAGATTTACACTTTTAGGGAGGGTTTCCGATAAAATATTAAAGTTAAAGGGGGGTTTTGGATAATTTCATAGCCCCTAAACTTTAGGGCTTGTTTTGTAATATTTTGAAAGTTGTGGGAGGCTATCTGATAACCGATCAAAGTTAAGGGAGGTTATCTGATATAAAGCCTAATCTTAAATTTAACCAAGGCGATGAGATAACATTCAAAGTTGGTTTTTCTCTTTCAAATTCAATCAAGAAAAAAAAATATGGTGGCACACTTGAATCATACAACTCCAATTCCTGATTACGTGAAATGCACAAACGTTAGATCGAAAATGGCCTATCATTCTTCCCAATGTTTTTCCCCTGACTAATTAATTAGAAATTGCAAAACCCAAAAAAGAGTGCAAAACTTATCCCAACCTTGACTTTAAACCCAGAATCCTAAAACCCAACACCTTGAATATTAAAAAATTGCATTTAAAAAAAATGAAATTAAGAAAAGAACAAGAAATGAACCATACCCAACATCTTGTTTTCAGTGGAGAGACTGAAGTGACCCTTAGACCAGCAAGAAGAACAAGTAGCTGAGGCCATTGCTGGTTCTAGAGAGAGAGAATGTAGAGAGCTAGAGAGACTGTGTGCGTGAGATTCTAATCTGAAAAGATTTCTCAGAGGGGGATGGTGGAGGGAGAGAAGAGGTGAGAGTGGTGAGGTGTTAATTTTGGGTAAATGTTAGGGGAAGAAACCCAGAAATTTGGGATATTTGCACAAACCATCGGAAGGAACTTCACAATTTTGGATAAATTCCCAATTTGATATACCACACGGAATCCGACCCGACTTGCGACCCGGGTCGGATTTTGGGTTGCCAGGGGCTTTACAAGCCACTTAATCAAGATTAAAACCCTCTTTCAAGTTTAGGGTCGTGCTGTAGGTCCTTTTTTTTTATTTTTTTGTTTGCTAATTGAGAGATTTTCTTAACTAAATTGGGATTTTTCTCCAAAGAAATTTAGATCATTTCACATTTTCAGAGCAACGACAGTAGGGAGGATTCCTTGGAAATAGCGTATAGATTAGGGATGTACTCAAGTTTGAGTTTTGCGTTCACATTTAACTCTATTAACTTTGTACACATATTCCTATAATCTATTGGAATGTGTTGGACTTTTGAGTACTTTTACGTCAAATGTTCTATCTTACTTATGTTAAATAAACAACTCAAATGCAGCTAATTGCCAGAGTTGTTTCCACTCCAAATCTAGATTAGAGTCAGAACCTACACTAAGACTTCGATGGTCTTCAATACAACAATACTATTTGGCTCGCAGCTTATCACCCAAGAGCATCTCGCAGCCCACGTGGATCGAGCCACGTCAGCACTCCCAAAAACCCCGTGACCCTCTCTTTCCTTCCCCAACACCATTTCTCTCTCCTCACTTCAACCATCTGATCTCCACAAAATAAACCATCTCCATCCTCTTCCCCTCCCCCAGCCCCAACTCCCCCATAACACTACTGTCGCCCTCGTGACTCTCCCCAAAAGAACGAGATTTTGTCACCATCAAGCAGATCTGCTCCTCCTCCACTGCCATTAAGCCCTCCGCCATCTTTAGCAGGATGAGGTCAAGCTAGGGCTCGACCTCTCTCACAAAACCAACTTCATCCGAGACCAAATCGGCCTCCTCTTAGGCCCGCCGATCTCAAGTGCCCATCTTCCGCCGTAGTATCCGCCCGTCGCCGGAGTCAGCCCATCTCTTCAACTCTGTTCAGAAGCCCTAAAATCGAAGCGCTCTCTCTCATCCCCCCACTTCAAAACAGGTACCTTTTCGCTTTTTTAATCCATCAAAAACCCTCGATTTCGTGCAAATTTCACTTCTTTCCATCTGATTTGATATGATTTCAGTTTGCATCTTGTTTAATTTCAATCTTATTACAAACTATTTAGTACATGACTAAGCTATGGAGCATACAAGGATTATAGTTTGTAGGCTTTGATCTGTCTGTAACAGTTGGTTTTTCCCTGAAAAAAACATTTTTTTTGTTTGAAGCGTAGGTTTATCGTTCGTTGGCTATTGGCTGTTGAAAATTACATCTCAAAGGTTTGGACTTGACTATTTTAGTGAATTTTTATTTGAGTTGTTCCCTTCACTCTGTAGTTTTCTCTCCCCCCACTAATTATGTTTTAGTATGTCAAGGAATAAAATCTGTGTTTTTCAAGATGCAGCTTGTCAGTTTCAGTCAATTGTTTGCTCAGTTTCTTTGTTCAGTTTTTCTGTCAACTATTTTTCTGTAAAGTTTATTGATGGATCAATTTGAATAGCCATGGCAGATATTAAGGAGTTTAATGATTTAGATGATGATGACATGAATAATTGCTCGGTTGATGAGAGATATGAGTTGCCTCAGCATAATGATCAGCAGATTGAGCAAAATAAGCCTAAAATTAGGATGAAGTTTAATGAGATTGATGAATTGTTTGAGTTCTACAAAGACTATGCAAAGAGCAGTGGATTTCCAATTAAGAAACTATCAAGAAGGAAGAATGAAATCTGCATTGTTAGAAGTATAACTTTAGCGTGTGGTCGAGCTGGCAAACATAATAGTACTTGTCAAAATCCCTTAAAACCACAAGCAAGCTACAGAATTGGGTGTAATACAAAGATAGCAGCTAAGTTAAATCTGGATGAAAGATGGGAAATAACTGTTATTGTTCAGCAGCATAATCATGGCCTTAGCCCAGTAAAAGTCATTTCTTTCGTTGCAATCGAAGAATTAGTGCACATGTTATACATCAAATTAATCTGAATGATCAAGCCGGAATCAAAATGAACAAAAATTTTGGCTCATTGGTACATGAGGCTAGTGGATATGAGAATCTGTTGTGTGATGAAAAGGCTTGCAGGAACTTGGTTGATGCATCAAGGCATTTACGTCTCGGTGAAGGTGATGCTTCAGCGGTTATGAAATATTTTTCAAGGATGGTTGCAGAAAATTCAGGTTTCTATCTTGATATTGAATTAGATGATGAGGATCATTTGAAAAATGTATTTTGGGCAGATGGTAGGAGCAGAGAAGCTTACAAAGAGTTTGGTGAGGTTGTTACTTTTGATACCATATACTTAACAAATAAGTATAATATGCTATTTGCACCATTTGTTAGCGTTAACCATCATGGGCAATTAATTTTACTTGGATGTGGGTTGATTTCAAAAGAAGACACAGAGACTTTCATATGGCTATTTACGAAGTTGGTTGAATGCATGGATGGATGTGCTCCGCAAGGGATAATAACTGACCAAGCAAGAGCCATGAAAAATACAATTGAGATTGTTTTTCCAAACACTAGACACAGATGGTGTTTGTGGCATATAATGAAGAAGCCGTCAGAAAAGTTAGGAAGGTACACTGAATATGAGGCCATCAGTTCTACTATGAAAAGAGTGGTGATATCACACAAAGTCCATAAGAGTTTGAAAAACAGTGGAATGAAATGGTTGACATGTATGGATTCGAGCATTGTGATTGGTTAGGTGAATTGTACGAGGAGAGAAACCAATGGGTTCCATGTTTTGTCAAAAATTGTTTTTGGGCAGGAAAGTCAACTACTCAGCGAAGTGAAAGCATGAATGCTTTTTTTTTATGGATATGTCAATTCAAAAACAAGTCTGAAACAGTTTGTTGAGCAATATGAAAATGCATTAAGAGACAAGGTGGAAAAGGAGATGCGGGCCGATGCAGAGTCATTTTCAAAAGTAATAGCTACCGCAACAACTTATGAAATGGAGAGTCAAATTCAAGGAGTCTACACTTTAGCAAAGTTTAAAGAGTTTCAAGCTAAATTCACTGGAAAGATATATTGTGAAATTGTAAAGTATTAGGAGGGAGCAAGGGTTATTGTGTATACTATTCGGGAGGCTTTTTGGTTGGAGGGCGGCAAAAGGATACATAAATTCTTCACAGTATCCTTTTGTGAAAAGGATTGTGAAGTTCAATGTAGTTGTCAATTGTTTATGTTTAAATGTATAGTATGTAGGCATGCCCTTACCATTCTTATCTATCCCGAAGTCAGCTTTCTTCCGGCCAAGTACATTCTAAGAAAGTGGAGAAAGGATGTGAGGCGAGCCCACTCGAAGATGAAAGTCAAATTTAATATTTGGGTAGTCACACCTGAACAATTGCGCTATCGCGAGTTATGTCTTGCATTTAGTGGGGTTGCTGATCTTGTTGTCTAAAACAACCATGAATGTGAGGTTGTTAAAAAATGGATAGACACCAAATTTAGAGAACTCCAACTTGCTGAATCAAGTCAGAAAGGAAAAGAAGTATCGAAGAATCATGATTTTGTGGAAGAAGAAAAGGAATATGAAAAGGAGAAAAATGAAAACATATTGGATCCTCTTGTTAGACCCTAGAGGGGGGGTGATTAGGGTCTTATGCTAATCTAATCCGATTTTATGCCAATTAAAATTAATTAACAAGTTATCCTAGCAAGTATGAAATACAACAAGATATATGAGCTAGGATAAGCAATATGAACAATGAGATATATCCTATATGATAAAAATATATGCAACGATATATAAACTAACACAAGAGTGAAATAAACATAAACAAGATAGTGGATAAAATAAAATGAGCAATGCACAATTGGCGATATAAGATAAATGCAAAAGCAAATGCGCCAATGACAAACTCAAACACACTCAAATGATCATGGAGTTCGGACCTTCCGTCCTACGTCTCCGTTCCCCACTCCCGGGGAGAAATCCACTATCACAACCGGGTTTTCTACGCTCACCCAAATAACGTTTACACCTCACAATGTCGGTTTTCAATGCTCACCGATCAACGTTCACAATCACTCATAATGTCGGTTTTCAATGTTCACCGATCAACGTTCACTCCTCACACTCGGTTTTCTAGTTCATCGAAAACTTTACAGTACACTCGGTTTTCTAGCTCACCGAAAACTTTACAACACTCACAATGTAACAAATATAAATTTGTTCTCTATAATAGATGAGAACATAATGAAAGCTCACTCTCAATTGTTATAACTCCCCACAACCCAAATTATACTATGAATATAAATACAATAAGCTCAAGTGGGTGTGTGTGTAAACAATGAGTAAATCAAAATCAAACTAAACTCAATACAAATGCTAGCTTATGGAAATGTAAATCAAACGTATAAATAGCTAGATATGAGTTTAGAGATTCTTCTCTGAATAACAAGATGGAGAGATGGATTAAAAGGAAGCTCAAACAATGTAGATGATCTCCTCCACTTGTGAACCAACCAAAAACAGCTTTAAACCAAACTTAAACCCCTGTTAAAACTTTTTTAAACTTGTTTAAAATATCCCATTGGTTGCTGAGATAGAAGGGGGTTTGGGGGTTTATATAGGAAGAGGAAGCAACAGTAAAAACCCCATGGGAAAAGACCAAACAGCCCAAGAATCAGAAATCTAATTCTGTACCAAAAGAGCCGTTGGGATAAATGGCGGTCGACCGCGAGCAACAAAAACAACAGGAAAAGCTCCAGAGACTTCGGCGGTCGATCGTGGCGGTCGACCGTGGGAAATCTCAAGCTCACGGTCGACCGCAGCGATCGACCGTGAAAGTCTCTGTTGCCCACTGACGAAAGAACTCAAGCGCGGTCGACCGTGGCGGTCGACCGAGAACTGATATATGAAATTATACAGTTTTGAACAGTTTTTTGATTTTAAAACACTGTTTAAAAATATCAAATAAATTCTAAAAA